AGGGTATCCCCTAGTCGGGAGCTCCCGACTAGAAACTTGTTATACCCTGAACCCAGTAAAAATTAGTAAAAAGGGTATAATGTGCCTGTGCAAATGTATGTAACAGGCAGAAGGAAGCATCTCCGACCCTATAAAGTATATATATTCTTGATCAGCATCAACAGCCGAATCGATCTAGCCATGTCCGTCTGTCCGTCCGTTCGTCTGTTCGTATGTATGAACGCAAAGATCTCAGAATCTATAACAGCTAGAGATTTGAAATTTTAGCTGTAGTTCCTCCTAGTGCCCGCGCAGATCGAGTTTGTTTCCGATATTCGATAACTTGCCCCAAGTACTTTTCAAGTAATCGATGAAAATCGATATCGAAATCCTGTTTTTTGAGCAATTGGGTAAAAAGGGTATAATGTATTTGTGCAAATGTATATAAGAGGCATAGGGAAGCCCAGAAGCGGCATCGAGGAGCTCCACGCTAACAGAGATCGTCGGAAGTCCCGCCAGGAACGACGTGTCCGATTCAACCCCCTGGGGTTGGAAAGTATTCCCCCATGGAACGCCTCTGGCATCGGGCGTGGTAAAGCTCATCGCGAGAGAGGCGCGGTTCCGTCGATTCCGATGCCGACGCACGCGTTTCCACGTAACACATGGGAAACGAGAGTACAGCGTTACTTTGAACGCAAAAGGTGACGTCACGGTCACTATCCCGAAGTAAGGAGGGGGTGTGAGGTGGCTACTAAGTGCAGCCCCCCACAGTTTTTGATCCACGGCAAGGAGCCGTCGTCTTTATGGCCAAAATCACGGCAAGGAGCCGTTGGCGGGGCGACTAAACAGTTTTCTTAGTTTATAAGTATTAATTGTATTAGGTTAAGATCGTTGTTTAGAAAGAGGCAAGGAGCCGTCAATATTGTAGTTGATTAAGTTGATATTAGTAAGTTAAGAGGCAAGGAGCCGCCAATATTATAAATCATTAATAATACTATAATAATAATATTTATAATAATTAAGGGCAAGAAGCCACTTAGCCAGGGCTTAAGTTTGAATTTAACCGCCGGCCGCCGCAGCAACCGTGCGTTGTCGATCGGTTGCTCAACACCGTCTTCGAGAGCGCAACTTCAATTCGGCGGCGAAGAGCGAAAGCTCCGAGGCGAGGTTGCGAAAGCTCGCGGCGAAGTTGAGCGGCCGAGGCAAGCGCATGGCTCGCTTGCGAACGTGCCGGCACTTTTGGAAGCAACATTAAGGGTGAGTAGACTTGCGTCGCGAGAAGAAAATCACAGAGGCATAGCGGAGCGCTAGAGCTCCAAAACAGTGCGGCAGGGCCTTAGTTTATGAAATACAATAGGAAATACAATGATTAACGAAGGAAACTCGCGAGTTCTTTATTCTCCGGTAGCCCTGTTTGTTCTAACATCGGAATTAGCCGATGTTCAACCTAACCTAGAGTGGGAGCATGTGGTACGGGACTGTAGCCCGGGAGTGGGTATTACTGGTTAGCTGTTAGAGAGTGTAGTTGGTGCAAGGCCACGGCCCGATAGTGGAGTTGGTACGAGGCCACGGCCCGATAGTGCAGTTGGTGCGAGGCCACGGCCCGATAGTGTAGTTGGTGCGAGGCCGCGGGCCGAAGGAATAGTCGGTGCGAGGCCACTTCCCGATAGTGCAGGCGTGTAGAAGTAGAGTTAGGTATGGTTTGGTCAAGATACCCACTTCCCCTCCCCCTTAAACCCTCTTTCCCAGCGAATTTATAAATGTCTTGTAACTCGCTGGACCTGGAAAGACTAAGAGTCGTACCCCGGCCAGTAGCTTCTTTACAGCAGGTCGAACTAGACGACAAAAGCAAGACCTATGCATTATGCCATTTGGTTTATGCAATGCAGCCCAACGTGTGGTTCGTCTGATGGACAAGGTGATTCCCAACGAGCTACGGTTATTTCCCCAGATTTTTCAACGCACTTGAAATACGCACAAATGCTTAAGGGAAGCGAGCTCCTCAATCGGACTGCACAAATATAAATTTTGCTTTAAGGCATTAAAATACCTAGGATTCATTATTGGTGGCGGCACGAGGCAACACAAGCCGTTGAACAGTTGAAGACCACCCTGACCACGGCCCCAGTGCTCGTGCACGCGGATTTTTCCAAGCCGTTCTTCGTGCAGTGCGATGCGTCTCAGTGTTGTTTCAAAAGAACACCGAGGGTCAGGAACGACCCATTGCCTTCTTTACAGCCAAGTTGAACAAACACCAACGGAACTATTCCGTCACTGAAGAGGAGCGCTTAGCGTCGATACTGGCCATAAAAAAGTTCAGACCTTACATAGAAGGGATGCCTTTCACATGCATCACTGACCACGCCAGCTTAAAATGGCTGATGTCCATGAAGGACCTAAGCGGAAGACTAGCTCGTTGGTCACTGCAGCTGCAAAGGTATGACTTTACCATTGAGCACCGTAAAGGCAGTGAGAACGTGGTAGCCGACACTCTATCACGCAGTGTCGAAGCAGTGGGAAAGCAGTTCAGAAAGCCTTCTCGATTTGAGACCACCGAGTTCGAATCCGCGGAATATCAGGCGTTGCTCGAACAAGTAAGGGCGAATCAAGACAAACTACCAGATCTGAAGGTTGAGGGGGATTTGCTTTTTAAGCGCATGGGGCGACGAGTTAGAAGGCACCGTGTGGAAGTTCTGGGTACCAAGCTCGTTTACAGCCGGCTTAATAGCGAAGGCTCATGTAGATGAGACGGCTGGTCATGGGGGGGTCGTGAAAACGCTCGAGACCTTACGTCGGCAGTTTTACTGGCCTGGCATGGCTAGTCAGGTAAGGGATTGGGTGAGACAGTGCGTGAAGTCAAGGCACCGAACTTCCGCATGCAAGTGGGTCTAGGAAAAGAGGTAGTGACCGAGCGACCATTCCAAAAACTGTATATTGACTTCCTGGGAAAGTACCCACGTTCGAAGCAAGGGCACGCTTGGATCTTCGTGGTAGTCGACAATTTTTCAAAATTCACTTTCTTGAAAGCAATGCGAGAGGCTACGGCTCTTAACGTAGTGGATATTTTGGTCAGCGAGGTTTTCTATAAGTTTGGAGTACCCGAGGTCATCCACTCTGACAATGGACGACAGCTCATATCAAGTACATTCCAAAACATGAACTCAGTTTTCGGCATCTCACAAATGCGCACTGCGGTCTACGCGCCACAGAGCAATGCAAGCGTGCGAGTTAATCGTACCATGTTGTCGGCGATCCGGGCGTATCTAGAGCAAGATCACCGCGAGTGGGACCTCTACATTCCGGAAATAGAGGTGTCCATACGCAATATCAAACACACAGCGACAGGGGTGACTCCTTTCTTTGCCGTTTTCGGACATCATATGTTCCTAAATGGGGCATGCTACAAATTGGCTCGTAGGTTAGGATCTCTGGGTGATCATGAGATTTCTCATTTGCACCCAGCAGACAAAACACACCTAATTAGACAGCGAGTCCAAAGCCAACTACACCAGGCTTACGAAAAAAGTCATCGGCAGTACAACGCTCGAGCCCGGGTGTTCCAGGCGGAACCCGGCCAAGAAGTCTACCGACGCAATTTTGTGCTGAGCGATTTTGGGAAAGCTTTTAACGCCAAATTTGCAAGAAAGCTCCTTACGGCCAGAGTAGTGCGGCGAGTAGGCAACACCTGCTGGAAGACTTGAAAGGGAAGCCCCTAGGAGTGTTCCATGCGAATGACATACGGGTGTATATCAGGGTTGTGGGTGTGGTCTACGTTGCGCATTCTAATTAGCCGGCTGGGCGAAACAGTATAGGAAATGCGCCAGATTCTATTATAACGGTCAGTTTCGTGTTTAAAATAATCTGCGTGGTGATGTTGCATTCGACGATATCGTCAGCATCGAGGGTTTGCTTAGTTGCGTGCGATATTATCGGCCACGCCGATATCTTTTGTCATATGGGGTGGCAAGGGTGGCAAGGCCAGGCTTGCGATCCACGGCGCCAAAAGCGGCGATTGCTATTGGCCGCCCGATTCGCTCTTAATGAGATTATAAGGAGAGTGGCTCGCATGCCCTTGGATATGCCATTGGCCTTCATTTGGGCCGTTGACCCAAAAAAATGCAGCTGTGCAGATGGGCAGCAACGGTGCCCGCCTCGCAAATGTATGCGTGTGCCGAAATTCGGCACCGATGTTGCTGCCCAAATGTACAGCAGGGAGTTCGATTTAATCAGCGGTCAACGGCGGGCGTGCCAGCTCGAAGCGGGCTTAAAGTTATAGTTTTGCTTGTCGGCTAGAAAAACTTACAACTTAAGCGCGACACGTGATGAACACATAAAAAACCCTGAGACACTTAATAAATAAAAAACGACCCCCGGTTCCGGCAACGAAGGGACCAGCTCTCGCACCAGAGAGGCCCACGAAGTCACCCCAAAGGCCAGGATTTGGCTCAGCGGCGCACGCCAACCATATCAGCGGTGCATGTCAGCATTGTCAGCGGTGCACGTCAGCCAAGCCTCGGCGAGACGAGCCACCCACGACCGGGCTCCAACAGCGAAGAACCGGCCACAGGCGAGACCACGCCCACATCCTCCGAGTGAGTCTGTTCCATTTCGCCCCTCCTCGCCCGCGCCATTGGCAGACTCCTGATTGTGCTCCCTGAAAGAGAGCAGATTTTTGTCGTTGTTAAATTTAGTTTTTTGTTTGTAAATTATATGTATATACATAGGCACTTACGCCAAGCTTCACTTTAAGAGAGCGAACAGTGAGGGAAAACTCGAAAGGTTATGCATATGCGCCTATAAAATATAAAAGTTTGAAATTTGGTGCTTGCGCGAACAATACTCACATACATACCTAACTTGAATTACCCCTTTCTATCGCCCCTTACCACCCCCAGAGAGCTCTTTAGGTAGGATAAGGTAGAATTAAGCGATTTAATTTATGTATATCACCTACCTGTTGCTCGACTGATTATCGTGACATACCCGGCTATAAGTATTTGCGTGGGTACACTGTTCCTAAATCGGTGCAACGATTGCCTCATAACTACTTTCTTGTTTTTATTGTTTGCGGCGACTGGCAATAACTTTGCATTTTTTCGTCGCCTGTTCTTTAATGTTGGTAAAGTAAATAAAACGCATCCTGTATGATAAATGAAATTTTAGAAATTAATACACATTGTCCATAATCATAAGTATATGCAACAATAATACGCACCTGGTGAAGCAATGCTCACGTGCAAGATAACGTAATTAACTAAATGGAGATGCCTTGATAAATAGATAGAAATAAGAAACATTAATTGTTAATAATCATAAGGAATGTAACCAATTATACGCACATATTGAAGGAAAAGAATGTCCGGCTAAGTTTAATTTGATGGGGAGAGGGGGCATAACAGCCGACACGGGCAGATGCAGGCCATCTAGTGGCCAAAATGAGGAAGACGAGGTCAGGTGATCGTCTCATGTAGGTCGGGTATGCTGGGCCCGGAACCGGGACCCGATCTGGAAGAGTAAAGTGGATAAATAGTGTTTTTTTGTTAATTCATTGTTGTTTACATTTGCTTGTTGTTACAGCTGTTAGTGCTGTTCATTTGTTAGAAGTTCCGATTGTTTGTTGTTATCGATTATGTGGTTCATTTTGAATAGTGTTGTATAGGTATGTTTTGCTACAGACGCTGTAGTTTTGTTGATATCGATTGTGCGGACTGCGGGAAAGGGATGGGACTACACCCAGAGAAACCGATGAGCCAGCCGGCGCGGCCCACTGAGTAACAAGCAGTTGCGCAACACATTGCAGTCGATGATGTCTTCTTTAATGCTTACACATTTCACTAAAAACAAGAATATGATCAAAACGGACAAAGTATTGCGTACATATGTATGTATGTACATACTACGTGTGTGCACATAGAAAAACATCAGAATCGACGCCGGTCTACTTGCATAAACATACACACATATCGCTGCATCCGTACAAACATATGTATGTATTTTTGCAAGCAACACGGCGTCGTCTGAACGGCGGCTTCTTTGCTATTTTCTAGCGTGATCAACTTCGTCACTTTTTTACATACCAATGAGTGTACACACTTTATATGTCTATGTTTGTATGTACATATATACAAATGTGCATACATACACATTACCAGACATACATACATTTCCAAAAAACTATCATGCATATATGTACTTACTTACCCTTTAAATAAGAAAGCAGGTGCTCCAAACCAAACTGCTTAAGAAGCTCTCGAGGTCTTTTGTTCGCCTCTCTTCAATTGAAATGGCACGCGTCGGCTTCAGCAAAAACGTTAGAAACAAGTAAGAGGCTCTAGTCGGGAGCTCCCGCTAGGGGATACCCTGAACCCTCATCTTCCGATAGGCGATAGGTACAAAATGAAAAATACTATATATATATATATAGAAGCTACATGTCAAGTTTGGTGATTTTAGCTCTTATTATTTACCAAAATTGCTCTAAAAACAGGATTTCGATATCGATTTGTATCGATTACTTGGAAACGGGGTAAGTTATCGAATATCGGAAACAAAATTGATCTGCGCGGGCACTAGGAGGACCTACAGCTTAAATTTGAAGCACTCTAGCTCTTATAGGTTCTGAGATCCTTGCGTGATTAAATCGTGATTAAATTGATTAAAATCGATATCAAAATCCTGTTTTTTGAGCAATTTTGGCAAATAATATGAGCTAGAGTCACCAAACTTGACATGTAGCTTCAAGAATATATATATATATCAAGTATCTTTCATTTTAAAGCTATCGCCACCTCTCCTTTACCACCACAAAGCTAAAAATCAAGTTAATTATCCAACTTGTATTGCCCATCAATTTAAGCCACAATTTATATGAAATTGACTTTTTAAGAATGCAAATATTCTAATTCCTATTCTACAATATGATGTACTGTCGAAAATTTCATTTAGATCGGTTAAGAAATACAAAAGTTATGTGAGCACGTGTTAGCAGCAGCTAGCGAAAATTCCAAGAATTTCTGTACACATGTACATACACACATTCATGCGCGTCTGCTTTGAATTCTATCAAGAGCATTGCAAATACGATTGTATTGTTTTCTGTGCTGCTATTTTAATTCGTTTTTTTCTCATTGAGACTCAGTAATTGGTGCGGCTCTTGAGTAGAGGCGGCGGCAAGTGGTGCGGTTAGTTGTATACCCTAGTCGGGAGCTACCGACTAGAACCTCTTACTTGTTTTTCTCTCAAAATGGTACATGAGAAATTCCCAAGTTGCTATAAGACTTCGGAAAAGTATTTCATTACAGTGCCAGTCCTTCAATGGGTAAATATTATTAATATAGATCCGTATGGTGGAGCCAAATATTCATTGCTTGTCTCCTCGTTGCTTATCATATGGATCTGGAACTAAGTATAATGTTGGAGTGCCTGTGTACCTGTGTATGGTGCCTAGCGGAGTACCACGGACCACGTGCACCCAGGAGTGAGGGCCTAGCACCTGCTGAGTGTTAACAAAAATCACCATGTTCCAATAAGTCTACGTGTTCAGCAATTCAACTACATTAGTAATGCCAATTCAGTCGTCGCCCAATCAAACAAACCCACGCTAGCCACCAAATATAGTCTCATAACCCAAAAACGAAAATTAATTAACATAACTAAATAAATCATATTGGCTAAAAATGCCTTAAATGCTATAGTTTCTATAAAAAAATTAATGATAATAGCAAAACTAATTGACAAAAAAATAAAAAATGTTAATAATGTTATAATTTGTTTTGGTGTTCCGGAAATACTTGCTAAGCGACCGTGCTCGCTCGTGTTCTAAAGTACCCTTCTCTTTTTTTTTAATTTGTTGAGTTTTAGTTTTCTCGTTAATTAACCAGCAAAGTAAAAAGAAAACCAGAGTAAATGCTTGTTCTGTCGAATAAAGCCATGAAATAAAAAGAAAAGAAATAATTACAAATCAAAGCCAAAAAAATAATGAGAATATGTGCATTATCAAAAATTAAATCTTAGTTTTATTATGGAATTTTTCATCTAGCCGCAGCAATTCCGGAGAAATATCTTTCGCCGACGGACACAAAAAAAATGTAAGTGAAATATCTTATGTTTATAGACCTATTTTCTTATTGGTCACTGCCCAAATGGGTTTAATCTTTGATAATATACACACAACCAATCGGTCTGAAATAACTGATCTTCAAGCACCGGCAGCAACAGATAAACGCTCGATCGTTTGAGTGAGCAAGTGTTACCTTTTTTTCCCTCGCCCTCTTCTTCGGTAATAAAATAAGTTTGTAGAATAAAAATATTGTGCATTGTTCACATTTTTATTATGGTACTGATCGATTAGCCTTAGCTTACCCACATGTTGTAACAAAAAAAAGAAGAAAAAACTACATTCGCGGTCAGAAAAATGGATACACTAAATAAAAATTAACTCTAACGGGCTTACACTAATGTCCACCGATATGCAGTACACGCTAAATCCATTAGAGGCAAAAAAAAAGTATTTATATATATAATGCACATAATTGAAATAATAATATAAAATTATTATATCGTAATTTCAATTGGTGTATCTTTTGAATTTCCTTATTATTATTTTCTTTTGGGTATGAAAAATTATGTTTCGAAATAAAATGTTTATAATGAATCTTAAATTAGCTACCGTTTTAATCCGGAAATCATGTCGCGCCGAAGTACCCTGTCGCTAAAAGATTAACGCCATAGTGTTTCAAAGGGGTCACCATTAATCGTAAAATAGGCGAGCCGCCTGGTGACCATTGTGATGCATACAGCCACGGTATCCCAACATGGGTTGGCCCCAACACCACTATGAACGTTTGAGGAAAGCCTCCTTTCTGTATTTCTTTCTTCTTCTCTCTTATCCTTTCCCTGCCTCGACTCGATGTTGGTCATTCGGCTTCTAAAAACAGTACGCGACGAACTATTTTAAATAATTAAAAGAACATCCGACAAGCATTGTAGTATCCCCCCTTAACCCACTGCCGATGCTCCAGCGCGTACGCCACCGAACATGCATTCATCCATATTCGTATACATGTACACACACGCATTCATGCGCGTGTTTATTGAATTCTTTCAACAGCATTGGAATTGCAATTGTATTGTAATCTATGCTAAGGTTATGTGCTGCTATTTTAATTAGTTTGTTTTCAAAAGAAACAAATTGTTGGTTTGGTTGTCCAGTAGAGGCGTTTGCTAGTGGTGCGATATGTCACAGGTTCGATTCCTAAGGAGAGAGAGATTATTTTTCCCTTTGAATACTGCTAAAGCAAACGAGCTCGTAGCACTATCTGCATTTGATGTTGGTAGAAGAGGGCTCAGGGTATCCCCTGGGAACACCTCACTAGAACCTCTTAGTTTTTTTATACGCTTGCAGAGAGTACAGTATAATTTGCTTTGCTGCCTCGATACTTAGCTGCATCGGTAAGATAGCTGTCTGAAATTTTCTTTTCGCTGCAATAAGAGCTAATTTTGTATGAAATTAATAACGTTAAGTGCATCTAACTTAACAGCCTTTTGCACTTAAGCGCCTCCTATCGGCAGTAATTTTTTTACAATTTCTATGAACATTATGTAAGTTAACTGCGCCATCTATGGTCAGATGTGTTGATTTGTTTTTCTTATGTATACAAAAAACTGTATTGAAATTGAATTAAATTTAATATAAATACATAAAGGTAATAAAAACTATCAAATTAATTTATTAAACTTAGTAATGTTAAATATAATTCAGTACAACTTAAATAAAAAATAGTGGTTTCTATGAAATCGATTCACTTTTAGGAAAAAAAAAATTAAGTTAACTGCCTTTTTAGGATAGCTGCCTCTAATGTTTGTGCAAAGTACTCGAGGCTGCTAAGCAAATTATATTTTGTCTCGAAATGTGTAACACATAGAAGGGGACATCTCCATCTCCATCTCCGTCCCCATAAAGTATATATATTCTCGATCAGTATCAACAGCCGAGTCAATATAGCCATGTCCGTTTGTCCGTCCCTCCGTCTGTCCATCTGTCTGTTGCTATGCGAACTAGGTTCACAGATTTAAAGCTATCATCATATAATTTTGAATACTTCCTTCTTTTTTGTTGCACGCTGTTCATATGTCGGAGCCGGTTGGATCGGACCAATATATCATACAGCTGCCATACGAGCAATGTACAATGACACTAACCATACAACACGCTTAGTGATTATAAACATTAAGAAAAGTTTCGGTCTGCAAGTATTAAAACTTCGGCGTGCCGAAGATAGCCCTTTCTTTCTCGTTTTTATATATTACCGCTAAAGCAAATGAGATCGTAGCGCGAGCTAGCTTGGAGGGTTCAGAGTATCCCCTAGTCGGGAACTCTGGACTAGAGCCTCTTACTTGTTTCCTCAGCCAGAACTCATTATTGGTATGGCTGTCAAGTTGGACCGGTGGAGAGTAGTGCGTTCAGAACGGTTTCGAGTCCGATCGAATGAACTTTTTTT